TAAGAAACGGCGGTAAAAACAGAGAAAGTCACAATCAAATAAATAAAAACTAAATAATTAATTTAAAAAAATTAGTTAAGTTTGTGAAATATAACAAATACTTGTTGATTTCCCTAAACTATCATTTTTAATCTGTGTATTAAAAGTATCCCTTGATAGAAATTTCTTTTAATTTATAAGATATTTTAGGAAAAAAAACATTGTAAATTTTAAAAACAAAGTAGGCTAAAATTTTATATTTATAATCAAATTTAATTTCTAACTAATTTTTACATTAAGAATTAGACATAAGACTATGTAAATAACACTGCAGCGCAACATGGTTACAAAGAGAAGCATTTTAGGGGGGGAAACATAATTTATACAACTAACTACCTTATCTAATTTTCAAGAGAAATATACTATATATTTTGATTTGATATTATTGATATTATTCTTTTTTTTTAATGGGAATTATTGATATTATTCTAAATGGACGTGAGCCAGTGTGATTCCCATAGAGTTTTGAAAAATTAAGTATCACACATTATAAAAGTAAATTAAAATTCAATTGATAATAATAATACAATGGGCCCGTTTGGATTGGCGGTAGAAAAAGTAATTTATTTTCAATTTGAGTTTTAGAAAAGTAAGATTAGATAAAAGTTAAATTGAGTAAAGTGAATTATGTTTGGATTAGAGTTTAAAAAAAGTAGTTTGTATAAATGAGATTGGTAAACGGTTGTTTAGATTATGATTAAATAGAAATAAAATTGTTTGTAAAATTACCAAAATGGGTATGGGTTTTAATAAATAATAAAACATAATTAAAAAATAATTTTATATAATACAATGAATTAAAATTAATTTAATATGAAGAAGTGAAATTTAATCAGTTAATTAAATTTTAGAACTTTAGAGAACTCAAAAAAATATTTTAAATATAAGCGAAACACAATTAAAATGAATTTACATAATATAAAATATTTAAATTAATTTAATATGAAGAAATAAAATTTAATAAGTGAATTAAATTTTAAAATTTAAAAAAAATCATAAAAAATATTTTAAATATAAAGCTTTTCCTTGATGATGGGCGTATTGTTGATGAGAGTTGGTGGCTCCTAATTTCCAAGGGCTCATGGTTCGTCTGCTTCTTGTGGGACTGGGCGAAGTTGCAGACGCAGCCATCCTCATCTTCTCAATTAACGCTTCAGTATTCACCTGCTCCGACAAAATCTCCTCCAATTGCTTCGTGTCAATCACCAACTTCACCTTCCAAACGCCATTTCTGGCCGATAGAAGGACTTCAAGCGCAGACCCATTCGACAAATTCTTCACGTATTCTGATTCTGCTGTGTCTAGCGACCTGTCTTGTTTCTTTTTGTTCTCATTCGTCCACCCTTCCTCTGCTCTATGCTCACAACGTCTGCCTTCCACTTTTTGATTTGGATCTCCATGATGATCAGTTGAAATGTTTTCAACTACCTCCTCCGGCTTCAAAGGAAGAAGGTAATAGAGAAGGCCGTAACATAAGCTCTCATGCTCCGGCAACCGCGAGGATGCATGACCTTCCGCCGGAGACGCAACGGAGCTCACGGCAACCAGCGACGGAGCTTTTGGCGAGGAGGCGATGGAGCACGTTGGGCGGCAGGGAGGAGACGTGGGAGAGCTTTGGTCGAAAAAAAACGAACAAGTGAATTATGATGGAATAATATGGCAGAAGTGAGAGAAAAATAAATGGGGGAATATCTGATGCATCACAACGCTAAAGCCAATAAGCTCTTCAAAATAAGCTTCTTCTTTAGGCTTCCACTTGAACGCACGTCGGGTGAGCTTATTCCAGACAAGCTCAGTTAGGCTTAAGTCCTTTCAAACTGGATTCATATTTTCAATCAGGTTTCTACTCAACATAAGCAGCTTCTCACCCAATTTAAGCCCTCCCAAACAGGCACAATATCATTTGTTGGCCAATACTAGGAAAAAGTGTTGTCCATTTTATAAGTTTTATTTTGAATCTGTCTAACCATTTATTCTTTTTCATTTGTCATTCTCTTATTATATTTTCTCATCCATTTCCTTTCATCCTCTTTTTTATTTATTATAAGGACATATTTTAAAAAAGTATAGATTTAACTTTTTATTGTTTTTAACTAATTTTGACTATTCTTTGTCATGGGCAAATCAATTATTTAAAACTTATAATTACAACTAATGCGTACTTATTTTGAAACTCTTTTCTTACGTAGACTGTATAGAACTGGAAGGAGTACGTATTAGTTTTATTATTTTCTGCTATAAAATCTATGGTTATGTGCGAATATCTTTGACCAGAACATACTCCCTCTAATTCAAAATATAAGTTAAACCTTATTAGAGGGATTTGATTTTTTTTTTTAATAAGATAACATTCACTTTTGTCTAAACATGAAATGAGATTTTTTTCAATTTTATTTCCATATATTTTATTTTCTCTTTAATTCATTTATTACATCTTTTATTTATTCTTTTCATTAATAAGGGTATGTTTGAAAAAAAATACATGCCTTACATATTTATTATTTTAAATTGACTTTAAATAATTTCTTGATAAACGTAAATAGATAAAATTGAGCTTTTATTTTAAATAAAAGAAAGCACCAAGTTAGTATTCTGTTTACAAACAGTTAATTAATTGCATTGATAATGCAGCTGGCACCACACATGAGCTTATTAAATTTTGATTCCCAATATTTAAGACCTACATTTAATTCCCTAATATGATCATGTTATTGTGTTAACTAATCTTTTCCAATTCAAAATATAAGTCACTTAGAAAGTAATTAATGTTTATTTTTCAATTTTATCCATACAAGTACTGCTTAAATAAAACTCTTTGTATATTTTTCTCTCATTTGCAACCTCATCTAAAATGAAAAAAGTTGTAAAACATTTTAATTTAATAAGTCGATTACAATTTTTTTAATATTGATGTACTAATTAAAGTGTGTTATATTTTGGACGGGAGAGAGTAAATCACTTGTAACTCATTCTCACATATTGAGGAATACATTAAATTGATAAAACTTTTCAAATTTATTCTTGTTAACTTTTTTCCTCTCTTTACATTTACAAACCATTTTCATTTCTTTGTTTTCCAAGAAAATTAAATAAGAATAAAATTAGACAACAACTATTCAATACTTTAGATAAAACCAAAAAATCTCCATTACAAGTTAAAAACCAGACCGGTCATTAAACTGGTTAAGGTAGTGGTTCAAACTAGAGTCAGCTCGGAATCAAATCGATCATTATTAAAATAATATAATTTAATTAGAATATACAAAACATTCATATATAATTGTAAAAAATTATTTAAATTAAAAAAATGCAATACGCCATATATTATTACATTATTAATAAACATATATTATCAATTAAATATTCTTCTAAAATAATAGAAGTAAAATTTAAAGCTTTAGATATAGAATATAAAAGTATAATTATAAAAGAGATATGAATAAGTATTTATCATTAAAAACATAAAAGTAACTAAGCACTAACATTTATGGGTTTTAAATTTAAAATCGCTTGGTTGGGAAAAAAAAATAAATTTGAGTTGGTACGTGAGAGGTAGAAACGAGTACGGGTGTGGGTAAAGAAATTGGAAATGAACTCGTTCGAAAGTGTGAGACAATGACCTGTGACTCTTTTATAAAGAAATGAAATCATGACCTTTTATACATGATCAACGGTTACGATACAATCTCCTCTCTCTCTCTCTATCGGTAGAATAAAACACTTGGATTTGAAACGCCGAACTGTACCATGGATTTGAATCTGGCTTCAGAGGAGAAAGGAGAAGTTCATAGAGGGACTCTGGCGTTCAATCGAGAAAAAATCAAAAAATTACTCAAGTTGCTGATGAGGAAACTTGGGATAGATCTTGTAACAGAGAATATCCGACTGGTTCTTTTTCTTTCCCCCTTCTCAGTTCTTCATTTTTTTTCTTCTTATCTACGTCTTCTTCAATGCTCTTATTTCTTCCTTCTCCTTCACTTTTCCGGGCATATTTTCGTTTTCCGGCTGAGCATCTAAATACGCAATTGCCTTCTTTATTTGGATGGAAATAGTGATACATCTCATATGGTCTCTAGGTTGAAAAGGTACTTAGAGAATTGTCTACCAATAAAGCATTGACATTGACATTAAGATTTGAATTCATGATTTTGTGTGTTAATATTCTTACCGATTCAAATAAATTTTCTTAGTTGTTTTTTGTTTTTGAATTATGACATATTTCAAAAGAATATTTAGTTACATGTATTTAAGGGGTGTTTAGCAATTTTCAAACCATAATTTCAAAAGCACTTTTTTGTAAAACGAGGCAAATTCCTTCACATATTTACTTCGTAAATATTTCGTAAACCGTAAAAATACTTCTAAAATCATGATTTGATTTCTATCCAAACATTCCCTCAGTCTCAAACTGTGAGGAAGCGAATATGTGGATGTGAGAGTGAGCATGTTTGCTTCTTAAGATCTTGTAAGCATTTTTACTTTTGTCAAATCAAAACACTTTTCATATTTTGTAAATTATGATTGAAACGTTATTTATGAAAGCTCCTATCCAAAAATAGTTGGTTCTTATAACAAGTCACTTGTAATTAAAAACATGATCATTTGCCTTTCTTTCTTTCTTTTTTTTTTTTAATCTTACCATCGAGAACACAAGAATGTGGTCATGCCACTTGACGGACTTATATAAAACCAAATCGACTGGATAGTACATAAACACAGAAAATATAAAACGATACCCCCTCTCTTTTTTATTATAAGAGACGAATAACCGAATCACGTTGATTTAAAAAACAATTAAAATTAGTTAAAAACAATCAATGTGTAAAAAGTATAATTTTTTTTTCAAAAAATACCCTAATTAATAAGGAGAGAGAGCATGAGAGAGAACAATTAAATTATTAAAAAAAAAGAAGTGGAAGGGAGAGAGAGTGTGAGTTGGAAACAATAAATATGGGTAAAACAGAAAATCAATACAAAAAAGTAGAGATAACTTTTAAGTGTCTCTTATATATAAGAACATGCCACAAGCATCAAATGTCTCTTATAATAAGGAACGGAGGGAGTACAACATAACACTTCACCCTTTTATTGAGAATCACAGCTCCGAAACGTCACAGTGAAGAACAAGAGATGGTCTTCACAAGAAGTGCCCTTGCCAGGCTTCACACATTAACACGTTCATCAAGACCTTGGCACTGCAAGTAGAGGGAGACCCTTGTCAACGTGAAGTGTTAACATGACACGGTAAGTCACTTTCCTTGTTTCATCTTCTAGTTTGAATCTGAAGAACCTAAGAAGAGCCATTGAAACTATCTTCATCTGTCTGTAAGCAAATTCCTTCCCTAAGCACATTCGAGGTCCAGCCTGCAAATGATCATGGCATAAGGAAAGTATTATCAGTACCAGAACGAGTGAAAAATTGTCAGCAATGAAGAAAATGGGAGAAGGAAAAATGATACAAACATGGAAAGAAATGAACTTGAACGGAGATTCAGGTTTAAAAACTCCATCTTTGAGCCATCGTTCGGGGCGAAATTCCTCAGCATCCTCACCCCAAATGTCGGTCATGCGACCCATAGCATGGGACATGTAGTACACTGCACCGCCCTATTTCACAGCGTAGCCATCAGGGAGGACGTCATCTGCTTCTGCTGTCCTCCCATCCTTGAGTTACAAATCAAACATAGATAAGTAATTACAGCAAAATGCACATCATACAAATTACAAAGCAAGTTTGTAACACAATGCTGCTTAAACCATGTATGATCACAAGTCAGGTAGAGGGTTTTATTTTGTATAGAAATAGGAATGTGTTGGGCTTCATTATGGCAGTAAGAGGTTGTCAGTTCAATCTCATTTGTGATCTGAGGTCATTTCTGAAAAAACAAAAAAATTATAAGTTGAGAAAACTCAGGCCCATAGCCAAGCTCATTGTCAGCTTTCATCATGGCCTGTAAGAATTGCTGCGCGTGAAACAAAAGTCAGGTAATGGCAATTTGCTTTACAGCTTAAGGAGATGTGCCAAAAATTGCTCATTCCATAAGCACATATTTGAACAGGTTATATCCAAAATGGGCTGTCTCAGCAAATTCAGTTTCCCTCTGCCAGAATCAAATCAATTAGTGCATCTGACATAGCTAACAAATACAAATCACAAACTGTTTGATAAAACACTATATAAAACAAGAACAACGGAGGTTAATTGATACAGTCTAGAACATAAAACGCGAAACAGTTCTAAAAATGAAACCGCAGGATACATGCTTTAGCAATAAGGGTGGACACTGTCATATAACTTACAACTGGAACTGCAGGGTACAACCTCAAGGTCTCTGACAGAGCCGCATGAAGATAATGCATTTTCTCAAGGATGTCTTCTGTTATATTGCCCGCAAACTCATGTATGTCGGGCTTACCTTCCTGCGTGCCAGTGACTTCTATCACCTCTTGTGCAACCTTCTCTTGGATGAGAGGGTGCTTGCAGAGCAAATAGAAGAACCACGATAGTGTTGCCGGTAGTATCTCTGCCCGCAATCATGAAGTTCAGAATTATATCCCTCAGATACTGATCGTCCATTGTGGGGTCCTTCTTGCTTGCCATCAGAAACCTAGACAGTATGTCCTCTTTATCAATCTGAAAACCTCCCCAAAAAGTTGCAAATGTCGCCATCAGTTCAAAGAATTCTCAATAGCACCGCTCAAGAAATTGTATACATGAAGACCAGCAGTAGTTTCATACTTTTTTGGAAAAGAAAAAACTGCATATTTTGTCAAGAAGGCTTTTTCTTATCAATGACCTTTGACCAAAACATCAGATTGGTTTAAAGAAGATACTTTGTTATGAGGGAAGCACAAAAGTAAAAAGAGATTTCCATAAAATTAGAAACTAATTTTCTTCCAGAGGCAAAAGCACCTTAAATCAAAACAGAAATGAGTCATCTTAGCAATTTAACGGAAACAAATAGTTTTTTAATACTAATGAAATTGGTGAATGATTTTATTAAAAACAGAAATGCTTTCTTGACAGAGAGCATTTTGATAATCAGATTTATGGAAAGGAAAAATGACAAGGAAATTCCAAACAAACTGAAGCACAACCATAACACATAGTAGATGATAATGACTCTGTGATCAACTCACTTGATCTTGCTGATTACCCAAGAGTTCTTTTTTTATCCTAATCACTCGATGCACGAAATCATCAATTACTTTCACATTTTTCTTGAGGGTAGCTTCACAGCCAATGTTGAGAAACCTCTTGAGCTTCCAAAAGGGATCCACATAGCGCTAGGAAATTGTAGCATTTGCCTCATCAAAAGCCTTCATGAATTCAATCCCCTCTTTGCTTGATCCCTCTAAGCAATTCAGTTCCGCTCCAAACCCGACTTTGAATATAGAATCCAACGTGTATCTCAATAGTACATCCTATAAAGGGAACAAAACTTTATACTCCTCCGGTCCTTAATATAGGACCCAATTCTTAAGTTGGTTTTGGTCCTAAATATAAGACCCATTTCTTATATTTTTCAATTTTCTCTAAATTACCCTTATGGATACTCCCCAAACCATAATCAAGTAGAAGAGGGAGAGAGGGTATTAAGAAAAATGATTATGGTGTTTTAGAAAAAATGTGTCACTTTTCGTGTAATTAAATAACTTACCTAATTTTCTTAATCTAATCAAATTAGTTAAATTGGTCTTATATTAAGGATCGGAGGAGTATATGTCTTGCTATGAATTCTAAGATGACATAAAGTGATATCTGCAATTAGAAGGGAAAAAACCCAGCATGGAAGCAAAACCATTTTATAGTATAACCTTTCAAGGACTTCAAAGGATCCACACTAAAGTTTCCACTCAAACTAGGAAACAGAAATCAGTTGCCATTTCTCCCAAGGAGAACCACATAAAATTTCCTAGAAAATAATCGAACACTTACGTGCATATCAAAAGCCACACTCTCCTTGGAGAATCATGAAATAAACCCGACCAATTTGGCGGCGTTGGTTCTGAAAGTAGAGCAGCTGAAATCGCTAAGAACCCTTGTGGAGAACTCATAGCTCGCGAGCTTCCTCTGCTGCTTCCACGTTTCCCCATTGACAGCGAAAATCCCCCGCCCAAGAAGATCAACCATAAGCTCCTCATCATGCTTGCCCTTGCTATACTTACTGAACTGGCTTTTCAGAATGTGCTCGGTGTTTACCGTGTCGGTGGTAAAAAGGTCGCTCGTTCCCAGACCCAGAAGCCGAAAAGTGCGTACAGTTTTGGCGACTTCCACATAGTAATCGAAGATGGTATTGTAGTTGAGGAGCTGGTGGAAGATGGTGCCTTTGACGGGGGCGTATTTTGGGTCTCCGACGGACTGGCCGGTGTAGAGGGAGACGAGGAGAAGAGAGAAGATGAAGAAGAGACCCAGAAACGAGACGAGGGTGAAGGTTAAAATGGCGAAGAGGATTTCCATTTCAGGTGATGATTTTGTTATACGGAGACGTTGGTTTGTTTGCCAGGGACCAGAGCACAAGCTCACGCTACTCAGCTACTGCGGTGGCGTACTGCTCCCGGTTCACGTCAAATTGACGTCCTCAGGCTGGTGAATGCATGCTGCTACCTGCTGTATTTAAAATTGCCAGATACGAAAACCGGATTGGCAATTGAACCGGTCAAAACAATGGATCAAGGGTCAATGGATCAGATTGGAGTCAAATCACGAGTCAAACCGATGAGAAATAAAAAAATAAAAAATAATTTAAATGTTCACTAAGAATTAGATATCAATTTAATATCTTGAATTACTAGTAAAATAATTACATTCTTATAATTTCTTATAATATCATACTACTAAAATCACTAAATATTCATCCCAACAAAATATCAAAATGGATATATGATAATAAAATATTTCTTCTTATAATTACTCAATCACTAAGTCTTAATTATCAACAGCTTTTTAAAAAAAATCATCAAAATATTTTTTTTTTTTTAAAAAGGGAGACCGGGTTGATCCACCAAACCAGGCGGGTCACCCCGGTTCAAGCCGGGTCATACCGAGTCACACAGTAACCTGGTTCACAGCTTAATCGGACCGGTTTCCTGGCCGGTTCACCGGTTTCCGGTCTGAACCGGCCGGTCCGGTCCGGTTTTCAATACAATGTAAAATACACAAGGGGTGTTAAATTAGAAACTTGGTTTTAAAAATATTTTTTCTGAATACAAAATAAATATGTTAAAAAATCTCAATTTATAAAAATGTGTTTTTTAAAAATATTTTTAATAATAACCAAATACCCCCTAACAAAAAACCCAATTTGCTTGAATAATTCGAAGAAAGCAAGGAAGTTAGTTTATCCCAAAAAAAAAGCAAAGAAGTTGGTAAATTATTTCACTTCGTAACTTTACTTTACTTATAAATTGATATAATCTAATAACTAAGATAAGTATTTTAAAGATATTATAACATGTATTATAATTAAATAATTTATTAATTTTTTAAACTCTTTAAATTAGTCAATTGGGTTTTATATTAAGAACCAAAAGTAGTATTAAAGTATTAGATACATATAACAAATACTACTTCTAATCCTTATTATAAAAACAAGTTAAGTATTTTAAATAAATTAAAAAAATTATTTAAGTTTATTATTTGTAATATATATACGTTATATTTTTCAAAATATTTTTACTCATTTTTTTTTAAAGAAAAAAATCCTCAGTCGAACACAGATATCCTCGAGACACTGTTGATGTCACAAGGAACGGGTTGCCGCATGGGTATGCGAGCAACTGGCATATCAACTCCAAAACTGGTTTGGACTTGGGAGACCATTGGCCCGGGGCACAAAAGTAAGGAAGACGTGGACCCCATGATTGGTGCGTGGTTGAATTGGACGTTAATGTTACTTTTTCTTTTTATTCTTGTCATTATTTTTATTTTATTTTTTTCACAGGCTAACACCAACATTCCAACTAACTGTTAAATTTAAAATTGAATAGTTGGTGGACTCGATCAGATGTGCTGACCACTTAGCCATGACCTAAGACTGCTCCTCATATAGACAAAAATTATCTCCTATTTTTATAAATTATAGTTAAAAAGTTATTTATAAATAATTCTAACTATAAATAATTCTAAATAGGACCTATGGATGATGACTTGCCTTGTAACTCAAAAAAAAAAAAAAGTTGGCCCAAAAAATTGCTTTAATTGCAGTATCTTTTAAAAAATTTTGACTCCGGGATAGTAGAGTTGGAAGAGTGGGTACTGGTTTTTGTTGAGGCCACGGTCAAATTATGCACAAGAACCCTAAAATTTATGAGATTATAAATAAACATCAAGCTAAAAAAATGTGAATGGACAGTCTGATGCAGTTAAATGCTGTAGGAAATAGAATAATATGGAGAATAATTCTCTTGTATTTCATTGATCAGAATATACACATATATATACAAGTGAGAGGAGCCTCTGCATTAATGGCTCATTATGATAATATCATATCCTATCAAATCCTAATCATAATTACATAATATTTACATATCAAATCATATCATATCTCTACACTTCCCCTCAAGTTGGAGCATAAATGTTAAGCATGCCCAACTTGTCACACAGATAGTCAACACGAGTCCCATTTAGAGCTTTAGTTAGAAGGTCGCCTAATTGATCACTAGAACGCACATATCCAGTGGAGATGAAGTTCTCCTTAAGCTTGTCTCTGATAAAATGACAATCAATCTCAATATGTTTGGTACATTCATGGAACACAGAATTGGAGGCTATATGTAGGGCAGCCTTATTGTCACACCACAACTTTGCTGGCAAAGTGGTTTTGAGGCCAACTTCCTTTAATAGCTATATATCCAGATTATCTCACATACAGACTGTGCCATAGCTCGGTATTCTGCCTCTGCGCTCGATCTGGACACCACATTTTGTTTCTTGCTTTTCCAGGACACCAGATTCCCGCCCACAAAGACACAGTATCCTGTAGTAGACCGTCTCGTGGCCTTTGATCCACCATGATCCGCATCACAGAAGCACTCAATGTCTGTATGGCCATGATTTTTGTATAATATCCCACGACCTGGACATCCCTTCAAATAATGTAACACGTGCTCCAAGGCTTCCCACTGTCTGACAGTCGGGGATGCCATGAACTGGCTTAGTACACTGACTGGATAAGTAATATCCGGACGAGTTACAGTGAGATAGTTTAACTTGCCAATCATTCTCCTGTACCTCTCAGGATTCTCAAATGGTTTGCTCTTCTGAGCCTCAAGCATCCGTTTCTCATCATCAAGAGAATCATCGAGTGGTATGCTCCCATCAGCGTCAAGGAGTGGGTTGTGAACCATAGGAAACTTAGTCGGTGATGCTCCCAACTTTCCAGTTTCCTTCAGGAGGTCAAGAACATATTTGCGCTGTGTCAGTAATATACCCTTCTTGCTTCTCATAACTTCAATACCTAGAAAGTATGTCAGAGAGCCCAGATCCTTCGTCTGAAAGTGGGAATTAAGAAAGGACTTGAGGGACGAGATGCCCGAACCATTACTGCCTGTGATCACAATGTCATCTACATATACCACCAAGAGAATCATGCCAGCCGCTGTTCTTTGATAAAATACAGAATGATCGCACTTGCTTTGGCTCATGCCAAATTTCTGTACGACAGTACTGAACCGGTCAAACCATGCACGAGGGCTTTGCTTCAAACCATACAAGGACCTCTTAAGGCGACATACTTTCCCATGCTCCCCCTGAGCAACGAACCCAGGTGGTTGCTCCATATAGACCTCTTCATGAAGATCACCATGTAAGAATGCATTTTTAATGTCTAATTGATGTAGATCCCAATCATAAGTAGCAGCCAGAGAGATGAACAGACGGACAGATGAGAGCTTAGCAACAGGAGAAAAGGTTTCGGAATAGTCAATGCCATAGGTTTGTGCATAACCTTTAGCCACAAGGCGAGCCTTAAGGCGGTCAAGTGTGCCGTCAGCCTTAGTTTTCGGAGTGAACACCCATTTACATCCAATGGCCTTTTTACCCGTCGGTAAATCGACCAGGGTCCATGTACCAGTCCGATCAAGGGCCGCCATCTCCTCTTCCATTGCAGCACGCCAACCTGAGTGGGCCAAGGCTTCACGAATAGTTTGGGCACAGAGATAGTATCTAGGGAGGCAACAAAGGAACTGGACACAGGAGACAAGCGGTCATATGAAACAAAGGACGAAATAGGATGGGCACAAGTACGTTTACCTTTGCGAAGGGCAATGGGTAGATCAAGAGAGGCATCCGGGTCTGGAACAGGAGGTGTCTCAGGATTAGGGTCAGAACGAGGTTCAATGTTGCTCAACTCAGGATCTGAGGGCGAGGCGGACCAGGGAGGAATAGAAGCTGGCGTGGCGGTAGTAATCTCCTTGACCGTCGTGTATACACACGATCAAATGGTTGAACGAGTGCGGGAGCGGGTGCTTGCGACGACAGTGATGGTGAGGTGACAGAGTATATTAGAAGGTCATCCTCCTCCGCAGGTGGAGCAGGTGGGGAAGAATGCGAGAAATATGGTGTGGACTCCTGAAAGGTGACATCTGCAGATACTAAATAACGATTGAGAGTAGGTGAGAAACAACGATAACCTTTTTGGACCCGAGAGTATCCAAGGAAGACACATTTAAGCGACTTGGGGTCTAACTTTGAAATAGATGGACGTACATCCCGCACAAAACAGACACACCCAAATATCTTAGGAGCAATAGGAAACAAAGGCTTAGAAGGAAAGAGGGTAAAAAAGGAGAGTTACCATCAAGAACAGAGGAAGGCATTCGATTAATAAGGAAGCAGGCAGTGGAGACCGCGTCAGCCCAAAATGGTTTAGGAACCTGCATTTGAAACAAAAGTGCACGGGCCACCTCAAGTAGGTGGCGATTTTTTCTTTCTGCAACACCATTTTGAGCTGGTGTATCGACACAAGACGACTGATGAAGTATACCATTTTGAAGCATGTAAGATTGGAACGAAGCAGAGAGATATTCTTTAGCATTATCACTTCGTAAGGTGCGAATAGAAACATTAAATTGAGTTTTAATCTCAGCACAAAAGGCACAAAAATGGGAAAACAATTCAGAACGATGTTTCATTAAATATAACCAAGTTGTCCGGGAATAATCATCAACAAATGTAACAAAGTATTTAAACCCTGCTTTGGACTCTACAGGACAAGGACCCCAAACATCAGAATGGACTAACTCAAAAGGGGATGAAACCCGTTTATTGACACGAGACACTAAAGGAAGACGATGATGCTTGGCAAACTGACATGACTCACAATCTAAAGACGACAAATGCTGAAATTGAGGATAAACTTTCTTAAGAGAAGATAGAGACAAATGACCCAATCGACAATGAACTTCAAAGGGAGAATGACTGCTAGCGCAAGCTACCGCATGAGACACCCGATCATCCAGTATATAGTGCCCGCCAGATTCATAACCTCTACCAATAATCCGCCTCGTCAAAAGATCCTGTATCAAGCAATGAGAAGGAAAAAGTGAGACCCAACAGTTTAGTTGACGGGTGAGTTTACTGGGAGATAGGAGATTAAAAGCAAGTTTAGGAACATTTAGCACAGATGACAAACGGATAGAGGGTGTGGGATTAACAGTGCCAAAACCGAGAACTTGAGACTGGGAACCATCAGCGATGGAAACACTTGACGGATTGGCAAAAGCATTATAAGAGGAGAAGAGATGGCTGTTACCTGTCATATGATCAGTAGCCCCGGAATCTATGATCCACTTTGAGGAAGAAGAAGCAAGGGCAGTAGCATTATTACCTGTTGTAGCTGCGGCACTCACAGACGGTGTAGTAGATTTTAACTGGGCATACTCAGCAGCAGAAATCGTGACTGTGTCACTGGCTTGTGTAGCCACGTGGGCACTGGCTTGTGTAGCCACGTGGGCAGAGTTATTCCGTTGCTGTTTATTCTGAAGTTTTCGACATGTGCGTTTTGTATGCCCCGGTTCTTTGCAGTAATAACACACTACCCCACTGGGCTCCCCCTTGCTTCGAACCACCACGGGTAGGCCCCCCGCGGTTATCAATGGGACTACGAGTCTCATAGGTGCCCTTACTGAGCAAGGCACTTGTAGGAATACTAGCAGCTGGTGGCAAGAGATTCTCAGCTCTCATTACTCTGGAAAACACATCTTGAAGGTCAGAAATTTCAGATCCGGATAAGATTTGAGACCGAACTGTGTCGTACTCAGGTGGGAGACCAGTAAGAAAGCTCATAATAGCCATTGCTCCCGTTGCTTATGCTGAACCTTCAAATTAGCAGTAAGAGGCATTGACACATTCAGTTCTTCATACATCCTTTTAAAGTCCATAAAGTAGGCTTTGAGAGGACGATCCTGTTTTTCAAAACGATAGAAAGCTTTGCAAACCTCGTAAACACGAGAGATATTTCCTTTTCCTGAATACAAAAAATCTAAATAATCCATTAGTTCCTTAACCAATTCACAGTGATTAATAGAGGGAATAATCTCACTGTCAATGGAATTACGGATCTGGAAAAATAGCCGTGCATCATCCCGCAACCAGGTCTTTTTGGAATCAGTTGTTGGAGGATCATCAGTCAGATGGTCTTCCTTCTCAATGCTCCGCAGATAGAGGCGAATGGTTTTACTCCAATCCAAATAATTTACCCAAGTCAACTTGTGATCAGTAATTTTAGTAATAGTTGGGACAAGCTCCGAGACAGATTTAATTTCCGCCATAGATGAAGTGCACTAACCAAAGGGAATGCGAAAGAGTGTTACACAGGAACACAAAGCACGATACCTGGATTACCTAATGAATACTAAAGCAGTAAAAAGGCCAACAGCTACACAGGGAGCTGCAAACAGAACTGAATTGCACAAACAGCGTGCCGGAGATGCGCCAGAAACGAAACAGAACGCCAGAAAGTAAGAACTGTACGGACTGTACGGACGCCGAGTGAGCAGTGCAGAGCGCTGGAAAAAGTCGATGAACAGTGCAGGCGTACGGACACTATACGGACACTGCACGGACGCCGAGTGAACAGTGCAGGGCGGTGGCACCAAAGGAAGCGTCGGGAAGAGGGTCACGAGCTCACACAGTAATTTTGGTATTGTAGCAACCGAAAATTAACACCCAGAAAGAAAATTCCCACGCTCTGATACCATGTAGGAAATAGAATAATATGGAGAATAATTCTCTTGTATTTCATTGATCAGAATATACACATATATATACAAGTGAGAGGAGCCTCTGCATTAATGGCTCATTATGATAATATCATATCCTATCAAATCCTAATCATAATTACATAATATTTACATATCAAATCATATCATATCTCTACAAATGCTAACACAACTAACAAATTGTAATCACATTAGACCCATTTCCAATCACATTGATTTATTTTCTCCCCCTCTAATCATACTCATTAGACCCATTTAGCGATCACGAATTAATTACTAGTAGGGGTAAAACAAATATTTTTTAGTTCACCATTATGTTGGCAAAAATTAAAAGCACAATTATTTAAAAGTAATACCACTTCAGTCTTGAAATGTATTCATTTGGTGCTATTTATAATGTACTTCTAACATGTTTCACACAGACCAAGAAAAACCTTAAACTGTATTAACTCTTTATTAAAATATAGTAACTTTCTAACTTTACCTCTATTTAATATATAGACTTTTCAAACAAAATAAGTATCTACACTGTAATAAATGAATGACAATATAGTACATTATAATGCATTCATAGTAAAAATTTAATAAAGTGACTAATAAATAGGACAAAAAAAACTTATTTCTTTGCATTATAAATAGGACCATAGGAGTAAGTCACTTATATTATGTTTAATATTTATTTTTAATTTTAATTTTGTTTATTTTTCATTAATAAAAACATATATGATCTATGTCTTCTAGAAGATGTTTGAATTAGAGGAATTACATAAATTCTTAGCGTGAGGTGAATTATATAATCTAAACATTTTAGAGCCATCTGCCCATTGGGTTTCACCGGATGAAACAATTTGTTTATAATATTCAATCTATAAATTTCTGTTTGTGTTAAATTGCATGTTGATGAATTTAATTGGAAAAAAAAAAGGATAATAGAATAAGGTTGTAGAAACAAAAAAAAATGCTGGTCAAAAAAAGAAACAAAAACAAATGATAAAAAAAAATGGTAAAGGATCTTACCTAATCACTGTCATATCATGAAATATCTTTCAATTAATCCTTTAAAAGCATAATAATCAATGTAATTAATAGAAAAATTAAAGCTAATTATTGCAGACAAAGACAATCACTAGCTTACCAAAAAAAAATTAACTAAAGATATATGGAGACAAGCGGGTCCTAGACGTAATCGTGGTTTTACGTGCACCATAACCTTATTTGAGAGGACAAAAGGCCATGCGCGTTAGGGGTGTTCACTGTGCCCGGTAGCCCAGTATGCCCGCCTGGGCCGGGGAAGAAAAAGCCCAGCCCGGTCCGAAAAAATGCAGCCTGAAAAAAAAAACTTCTGCGCAGGGCTAATCACGGGCAGGGTCAGGCTACAGGCAGGGTACCCTGCCTTGCCCGTTTGGCCCTGCCTGGAGTATATGTAATTATATATTATAATAATAATAGATAATATATAATAATACATAAAAATTTAAAATGATAAAATATATTAATATAACATAATATTTTAATTTTCCCTCTTTTCAGTTTTCACCGTCTTACTTTCATAATTTCACTTCGGGGTCTTTGATCTTGCCTTCAATTTTGGATTTCAGATTCTGAACCAAATCCATGCCGTAGCGCCTCCCTCCTCCCCTAAACTTCTGCTCATTGCCCACCGTCGATCCGTCATCAGTAGCCTCCCTCCAGTTCCAAGCTCTAGTTCGGCAGTTCAAGACTTCCACGGTTCCACTCAAGCTCAACTCATCGAGACGCTCAGACACCGACCGGTTTTGACTTCCAAGCTCAACTCGCCGAGCAGCGACACCACCTCCGTCTTTGCATTCTCTCAACCTCAACTCACTGAGATGCCGACCAGTTCCAAAGTCAACTCACTGAGCACCAACAACGACCGCCTCCGTCTTCGCATTCCCTCAAGCTCAACTCGCCGTGAGTGCTCACCGTTAGTTGCTGCCAAGCTCCATCTTCCTCTATTGATTCGGCTTTGATATTCAGCCAATGAGTTTATTTTCCAGGCATTGCAAATATATTCTGTTTCTACTTTCTATTGTGACTCTATTTTTTGAAGGCTGAAGTGAATTCATTTTGGAGCAATACTTCGTTTAGTAACAATGTAACATAATTATCGAAAGATTTGGATATGAGATGTAAGCTTAGTGGCTGTTCATATATGATATTAACAGAACCAATAACCTGTGATCGTAAGGTTTTATAGTGTCTTAAATACCAAGATTTAGCAATCCTCCTACTGAAATACTGAATACTGATGTTAAAATTGATCTCGAAATTAAACAGATACAGTGTTACACACAGCATTGTAAGTAATTAAAGAAGATTATATAGACCTCTTTGATCTTATAGCTTAGTGACATAAATATTTCTCAATAATAAATAAAAAGTAGTGGATTCCATTCTATTTGTAATTATAAATATAATTCCATGCTGTTAGGGTTAGTGGCGCGATTTGGTGGTATCCTCCCTATGGATTTTTAATAAAAGGAAATTGTGCAGAAAATAAGAAAATGGAATTTTGTTAGTGAGCACTATTTTATGAGTAATTGCATGTAATGAATTAAATGTACTAGGAGAGTAATTGGTTGAATATAATATCAAAGTAAATGAGAAAGAATGCAGCAAAGTAAGGAAAGACAATTAGGCATATAGAGAAGAGACATGTTTGTTCACCGAAACAAACAACTAAAACGGTTCTCTGCTACTCTTTGGATGGATATTATTGAGACTTTGTACCATTCTTAATCAAGTTTATAAGTCTATAAGGGTTTTGAATTAAATATCTGTTCAGCTTTGGTCCTTCCTTGTGTATTGATATGTCTTTAAAAAATAGTTTGTTGAATTATATGGTATTGCATATTTGCATTGTAGATTTAATGGATGAGGAAACTTCTATTACATCACCATCCTCGGCCATTGGTGGAGTGTCTCAAGGTGCTTCACCCCCTCTTCAAACACCAATTCCTACTGGACCTAATCAAACACCAAATCCTAATAGACCTAGTGAAGCTTCTACCACTAGCCCTACTCTTCCTATTCAGCCTCCATCTTATCCTGCCCTCTCTTGTCCCATCTCTCCTTCTACTACCCCTACTCCCCCACAAACAAGTTCTGCCACACTATAAACAAATGTTGATGGAAGGGGTACAAAGAGAAAGGCAAGAGAACCTAAACATACATCACAAGTATGGGATTACTTTGTCAGATTGCCAATAGAAGAAACTAATGGAGTTCACTTAGCAGCTTGCAAGTACTGTCATACTACTTATAAAGATGATCCAAACCATCATGGGACAAATTCTTTGTTGAGGCATATCCCAAAATGTTCAAAGAATGCACATAAGGCCACGACAGATAAAAACAGTCTATGTTAACTCTTTTGTCGGGTAAAACAGCTGGGCGAGGAAAATCTTTAATTCCACATGTATATGATGAGAAGTGATGTAGAAGAGTTTTAGCTGAATTTATTATTGGTGATGAGCAACCATTCAGAATTGTGGAGAAGCCTGTATTTAGGAAATTGTTGAATGAGTTTGAACCTCGCTTTCCAATCCCTTCAAGAACAACAATTGGAAGAGATGTGTGGCAATTATATCTTGGAGAAGTTAAAGTATTGAAGAAATTTTTGAAGCAGAGTGCTAAACGTGTTTGTCTTACCACAGATTGCTGGACATCAAATCAGAATTTCAACTACCTATGCTTGACAGCACATTTTATTGATGATGAATGGAAGCTTCACAAAAGGATTCTCAATTTTGTTATGATTGAAAATCATAGGGGTGATACTATAGGGAGGATGATTGAGCAATGCTTGTTAGATTAGGAGATTGAGAAAGTGTTCACCATAACTATGGATAATGCCTCAGCTAATGACTCAGCTTTGGGATATCTTAAAAGACATTTGAGGAGTTGGAAGGGCTTACTTTGTGATGGTGATTATCTACAATTAAGATGTTGTGCACATGTCCTAAATTTGATTGTTAATGAAGGTATTAAAGAAATGAAAGACAACTTGGAAGCCATTCGAAGTGCTGTTAGATATATTCGTTCTTCTCCTTCACGCTCCCTAAGATTCAAAACTTGGGCTGAAGCTGAAAAAATAAACACTAAAAGCCTTGTTTGCCTTGATGTATCCACTCGATGGAATTCAACATACTTAAGTTAGAAGCTGGAATGAAGTTTCAAAAAGTGTTTGAGCGGATGCATGATGAAGATGATGACTGTATTTCATACTTCAGCTCAAGCACTTCAAGCTCTAGGCGTGAGGCTTCTAGTTTTGCTAGGTGTGAGCATGATGGTACTAGACGTGACCAAGATAATTTTTCTGGTCCTATTATTGATGATTGGAATAATGCTCAAATTTTCATCAAATTCTTGAAGGTCTTCTATGACATAACATTGAAATTTTCAAGCTCCCTTTCTATATTAGCAAATGAATGTTTCCACCAGATTGCTCGGATTTAGAAAATGCTGCAAAGGAATATCACAAATAATGCTAATAGCTTCTTAAGAGAAATGAGCACTAGCATGCAGGTGAAGTATGACAAGTATTGGGATCAAGCAGAAAATATGAATCCATTGCTTTTTGTGGCTGCCATTTTGGACCCTCGGTATAAACTAGCATATGTGAATCATATGTTTGATCTTCTTTACGTTGATCCTGAAGTATCCTTGATTATGAAGGAGAGGGTCAAAGATTGTTTGTATCGGTCGTTTAATGAGTACTTTGCTGGGGTTTCTATTGACTCAGGGACTGCCTCCACAAGTACAGCAGTTGCAACTTCATTGCCTTCTTTTGATGATGATGGTGGTGGTGGTGAAGAGGATCCAGGTCATAAGTGGTTAGAATCTATGAAACAAAGAACCTCAACAGATCCTCAAACTGAGTTAGATAGATATATAGCAACTGACCCGAGAGATGAAATCCCTTCTGCAGCTGAGTTTGACATATTGTTATGGTGGAAAGCTAATTTAGAAAAATATAGAATTCTCTCACACATGGCACGAGATGTATTGGGCATGCCAGTTTCTACAGTGGCTTTTGAGTTTGCCTTTAGCACCGGAGGATGTATGGTTGATCATTATAGAGGCTCTTTATCTTCTGAGATGATAGAAGCACTAACTTGTAGCCAAAATTGGCTACAATCTGGGCAATCAATGTCTGAATTTGTTGACAAGCTTCGGGAGTTTGATAATTTTGATGAGACAGAACATGTCCTTCAACTTGCTAGTAATTTTTTTTCTCCCTAAACCTCAATAACTCATATTTTACTTCATAATTTGTAATGTCATTGTTCTTTGACTTTTTCCCCCTAGATTCCACTACACCTGGAGGGGAGAATTTAATGGCTACTAGCGATTGAAGGGTCATTTTATAAGCATGACTAGTTAAGCTGGTGAGGTGAATCGGTGCATCCTTTAAAATCCAGAAGTACTTTTTTTTATTGTTTACTTTCTAATATACTAAACTTTGTTATTTGTATTTGTATTTTTTCAAGTGTTCCATCCTTTTTTGGAAATTATGGAGATTGATGCAAAGTGCAAACTATTCAATTTTCTAGGCTCCAATTACAATATTGAATCTTGCTTTGAATGGATTATTGATGTTATTTAATTGGATCTTTGTTAGGCCTTGTTTTGGATTATTTCTGGATGATTTTAATATGTTAAAATGTAGAATTATGAAATGTGATTTTCAGGTATGGATCGATTTTTTTTTTTCATGATATGAGCAAGGCCTCGGTTTTTAGGCAATGAAGCCTGCCCTGCCCATGCCCTGCCTAAAATGGTTCGGGCTTCTACGGGCATGCAGCCCGAACATACTTTAGGCTGGGTATCAGGCAGGGCTCCTGTCCTACCCAGCCCTACTCACGTGCAGGCCTATTGTGCGTGCGTATGAGTCTTAAAATAAGTATTTTTGTTCTAATAAAAAATTTAGTATTGTTGGTAAAAGGTTTATTTATAATTTATAAATTTGTGAGTTAAAATTTTACTGTCAATATGAAGACCTTATTAGTAGACAATCTATAAATAAATACTCTTTGAGTCTTAATCCATGCACTAATTTTGATCATCCCTAAAACTAAACTCAACCATACTTTCTTTAATAAAAAAAGTAGTGTCTTTGTCTTATATATAAGTATATATATTGCCAACCATCTTTGTCTTTTATATAAAATATAACTAGTATCATATACTACCTCCAGTTCTTAATATAAGAGCTAGTTTGACTTTCAATTTGATCCTCAATATAAGACCCTAATTTACTTTGTCTCTTTTTTTTTTTTTAAGATAGTCATTGTAGTAGCTGTAAATATTAAATATTTCATCAAATGACATTTGATTAGCAATGGTACTTTGGAAAAGCAATACCTATTTACTACAAATAACTAATTTAACTAATTTTTTTAATCTACTTAAATCAACTAGTTTTTGTATTAAAGAGCGGAGGTAGTATTTATTTTGTACAACGTAATTGTTTTTTTGGTGAAAGTAGAACGAAAAATTACTTCTCCATCAAAGCCAGCTAAAATTAGTATCATTGTCATCCATATAAAATGTCAAAATCGTAACAAGGTCTACTTTACAAGTTATAAACTCAGCGTAAAATATAAACTCTCAACAGCCACTCCAAAAACAAAAAACACAACAACAAAAAACCGTCAAAATTGAAAAATTACATACAGGAACCCGTTTTAAAAATTGTTGTCAAAACCCATACTATTATTGTCAAAACTCATACTAATGTTGTAATGGATTCCTATTTATAATTTTTTTATTTCAGCAGTCTTTTTTGTGATTTTTCTCCAAAAAAAAAAGATTGCACTGCTATATTACTTTTTATGGATTTCTTCTAGCGAAATATGAATATCATGCTTTATTAATATGAATCTCGGCAGCCCCCCCACAAAAGATTTGATGGCCATGAATTATTAATATCTATATAAAGAAATAATTTTTTAATAAACAATAGTATCCTCCCTTAAAATTACGGATGCATGTTGTCATTAGTTAAATCACAATCATGATTATGAATGCGTCATCACCTTATTTTATCTGTAAGTTAAACCAAACATTTAAAACGTCGTCACGTACGGTTAAGAAACATAATTATTTCACGTAAATATCAATCGCAACTACAAATTCTCAAACCATATTTCGAGGTAATTGGATTGGTTGGTGTCACACACACCCAACAACTTGGCGAGTCTGATGTTTTCTTTTGTAAAAGGCGAAAGAATAGTTCGCCGTGTGTCCACTGCGCAGCTGCGCGGGTCTGATGTTTTCTTCCTACGTTGGAGTTATGTGTGCGGTTTAAATAAAATTTTAGCAGTTGAGATTTATACATACATATATATTTATATTTATATTGGAAAAAAGATAACAGAGCACTAAAAATTAGAAAGTCAATATTGTTTTCTGGGGCACGGTCAAAAAGTTGGGAGACTCAGAATTCTCATCATGTCATTCTTTTTTTTTTGGATATAACCACCCTTATCGTAACTATCGAAACTCTATAAATATATTATCATGATATATAAATAAAATAAAATAATCAATAAAACACGGCTATATCTAATAAAGAACAAGGCTAGGCTTGAATTTTTATCCCAAAAACACAAGAAAAAGAAGGAATTTTGGGTGACCCCCGTATATTTAACAATAATGTTGTCAGCCTGCAAGGGTCGGGTCCGACTGGTTGACAAGGGGAAGGCAAGGCGCCGCGTACCCGCCAGGTCTTGGGCTCGATTCCTCGTAGTGGCACCCATGAGATTAGTCTGGCCGTTGTGCTGGGATACTCGGAGTTAGCGATAACATCCTACTCAAAAAAAAAACAATAATGTTGTCAAATTCATGAGTCTGGACACACTCATGACAAGGATATGAATTCGGATCACGAATCATAACATCATCAGAGTTTAATTTTATCAATAAATAGCTATTAAGAAAATATAATTAAATAATTAAAATATAAAAAATAAAAACAATTTCATCTAAATATATTTTAAATCCAAATAATTAAAATTAAAACCATTAATACTCATAGTTTACAATACTCAACAAAGAAATTTCTATAAAATTCATATATATAGTTACTAATCATAATTAAATTAAAAAAAACTAA